TTTAGGTATGCCGTTGTCTCCTGATCTTGATCTTTTCGTTCTTTTGCAATTTCCAAGGCTTGCTCATGGTATTTAGTTGCCGTTTGAAACTGATTGTTCAATCTGTAAGCCTGTCCTATGTAGATCTATGTTAAGGTATGCCGTTGTCTCGTGAGCTTCGTCTTTTCGTTCATTTGCAATTCCCAAGGCTTGCTCATAGTATTTAATTGCCGTTTCAAAGTGATTGTTTAATCTATAAACATCTCCTAACCCAAGGTATGCCATTGTCTCCTGAGCTTGGTCTTTTCGTTCTTTTGCAATTTCCAAGGCTTGCTCATAGTATTTAGTTGCCGTTTCAAACTGATTGTTTAATCTATAAACATCTCCTAAGTTAAGGTATGCTGTTGTTTCCTGATGTTGATCTTTTCGTTCTTTTGCAATTTCCAAGGCTTGCTCATTGTATTTAGTTGCCGTTTCAAACTGATTGTTTAATCTATAAACATCTCCTAAGTTAAGGTATGCTGTTGTCTCCCGATGTTGATCTTTTCGTTCTTTTGCAATTTCCAAGGCTTGCTCATAGTATTTAGTTGCCGTTTGACACTGATTTTTGGATCTACAAACAAGTCCTAACCGAAGGTATGCCATTGTCTCCTGATCTTGACCTTTTCGTTCTTTTGCAATTTCCAAGGCTTGCTCATAGTATTTAATTGCCGTTTCAAACTGATTGTTTAATCTACAAACAAGTCCTAACCGAAGGTATGCCGTTGTCTCGTGAGCTTGATGGTTTCGTTCTTTTCCAATTTCCAAGGCTTGCTCATAGTATTTAGTTGCCGTTTCAAACTGATTCTTCCATCTATAAACAAGTCCTAACCTAACCTAAGGTATGCCTTTGTCTCCTGATCTTGATCTTTTCGTTCTTTTGCAATTTCCAAGGCTTGCTCATAGTATTTAATTGCCGTTTCAAACTAATTGTTTAATCTATAAACAAGTCCCAACCGAAGGTATGCCGTTGTCTCCGCTGAGTTTGATCTTTTCGTTTTTTTGCAATTTCCAAAGCTTGCTCATAGTATTCCATTGCCGTTTGAATCTGATTGTCCCTTATATAGGCAGTACCTAACTCAATGTTTCCCTTGAATTCTTTCTTTCCGTCTTTCAGTTCCTTGGCTAATATCAACGCTCGTTGTAAGTTTACAATTGCCAGTTTAAACTGACGGCTTTGTCTATAAGAGCTTCCGACGTTGAGGTACTCATCTAGCTGATGTTTCTTTGCTGTATTCCCCATTCTTATATAAAGCTGGTGCAACCTAATGCAGTGCTGTTTTTTCTTTGATTGCCGAACCTATAAATTATATATTTGGATTAAAACCACATCCTTCTTTTCAATTGGAATCTATTAAGATAAACTGTATTGTTTATTAAAATCGTTTAATGTTAATTAAGCAGAGCGTGACTGTCTAATTCGCCCCAAACACTCATTGCATTACTGCTTGGAGAGTAAGGCTTATACTGACTAGCTTTTGGCGACACGCAATGGTCTTCCACTTTTGTTTCACACCCTGTGTAATTTATTATTCCGGTTGATAACGTTGCAAAGGAGGATGCCAATTCAAACAGCCAAAGTGGCTCCATGTGAAAATGTTGCACAAGAAGGAGAAATCGGCATTATTTTGGCAATGAAACCAATCATTATATAGGAAAAGCAAAAATATTTGTTTGAAATTTTTCACATTTTACGTTTTCATCAAACAGACCTTTAAGAGACTATTAAAACTCTTTAACATCAATTACTTTCCGTCTATATTTGTTTGAAATTTTTCACATTTTACGTTTTCATCAAACAGACCTTTAAGAGACTATTAAAACTCTTTAACCTCAATTACTTTCCGTCTTCCTGCGTTACGGAAATAACCTTGACCAAAAGCTATCTTCAAAAATGGTAAATGCATGCAGGGTAAGCATTTTAAATTTAAGGGCATGTTTGTATGAGTCCAGCAGACCGGGAAACTGCTATAGCTCTAATGCACGTTTGATCAGGGTATTATTGTGGTCCTATACTACGTCAAGGACACTGTGTGTTTGGTGTAGTTCGTTAAACGTTTAGACTTTAGGGTGGGAAAGAAAGTCTTGTTGCTTTAACGATTCGTTGTCTCGTATTCACTGGAGCGCCCAATTAAATGATAAGTAAGTAGTGAAGGAAGTCTGATCCCAGCCCGACTGAAAGCAGACCTATTTTGAGGTACTGAATGGGAAAGAAATATTTTTTAAAATCCTTCTTCTGCATAAAGTCTGTACACTAAACATATAAGTTTGGAAAAAAAGAATTCTAATTAACGATTAAGAGATGCAGAGCAAGCAAAAATGTTTGAAATGCTGAATTTGCATTTGTAAACAAATTTATTTGGTCAGCGATCATTTTGTAACGAGTGGCTTCATAAAAGAGCTTTATTCGTGTTATGTAGGAGTATGTGATGTTATAAAAATAAAATTTTAATTGTCTTTCCTGACTATGCATGATGTTATCGTAATAATAATTTTTGGGAATGTTGATTTTTAGAATTTCCATGCTCGTTTATGATTTTGTCTTTTCCTACGCCTCACGATCAGAAATTGCGGCGACAAATTGAAAGTTAATATGAACTATCTCATCTTAACTGAACATGCGCAGAATGTACATGCTGGCGTGTACTGAATATTAATGATGGTATACCTGTAAAATAGTTGTATGTGCGTAGCTAAGTGTATAGACTATAGTCCACGTTAATAAATTTTTGAATTTTGAATGAGGAAGACTGCTAAATTATTTCAAGATATAGTCGCAGAGAATAAAAAATTGCTGACGAAGCAGGATTTTTTGCCCTACGAAGTTGCGACGAGAGCCGTGTTTCAAACGGTAAAAATGTCTAAAAGTCTTTCAAACTATTCAAAACGAAGGAAAATAAATCTAAAATAGAGAAAAGGAGCAACTACTGTGGTTATAGAACTTTCCCAATACGTTTTTTTAGCGAAAGAAGAAATTATAAGGTTTATTAGTAGCATGACAGAATTTCTGGATGTTGATTGTTTGAGAGAAGTACAATTAAATTTCATTAATTGTATTGCAGTACAATTAATGATTTTCCCCAAACAAACA